CCGAGTAGCCAGAATTACAGGCGTGTGCTACCACGCCTGGCTGATTTTTTGATTTATTGTAGAGATGAGGTCTCGCTGCCCAGGTGAGTCTTGAACCCATAGGCTCAGGCAATCCACTCACCTCAGCCTCCCAAAGGCGCGGGATTACAGGTTGAGCCACTGAGCCCAGCTATTGAATTTCTTTTTAAATGCCCTTTATGAGTTAAAAAATGGCAACTCTGAACAACTTTCTTTTATCTCAGGGAGTACTTAGTTCTTGAAATTCAAAGGTATAGAATTTCTTTGGGCAGTATTCATGTTTTTCAAATTTTTTTATTGCAGTCCTTGGGTGGGAGGAAATGCATTTTATACTAGTGTATATATAACTGAAATAAGAATTTTATAAAATGATACTTTTAGTGAAACGCACTCTGATAATCTACTTTCTTTTTAATGCTTTCTGGGACTCATTAAACTTATTTTATGACCCATTAATGGGTTAGCAACTTGCAATTTGAAAAAAATTCATTGCGCTAGATATTGGGAGTACATTCTTTTGCTATAGTTTTAAATCTAGCTACTGTTATTGCACACCCACTGTGTGTCAGGAGTGATTCTGCTATCTGCTTGTGTATATATCCTGACATAAAAAGAAACATGAGGGAACTTGGTTGATGTATCCAAGATCAAAGAGCCAGTAAAAAGCAGAGCTCAGATTTTACCCCAGCTTTCTTGACTCCCAGGTGCAGTTCTTTTCTGTGCTCGTGCTCCCTCTTTTCCAGGTTTCCCTCAGACTGTTCCACTCCCACACTCCTCAGTGTATGGCACTTAATCATCATTGGTCTGTACAACTCTTTTCTCTTTTTTTTTTTCTTTGAGTTGGAGTCTTACTCTGTCGTCCAGACTGGAGTGCAGTGGCATGCTTCCGGCCACTGCAGCCTCGACCTGCTGGGCTCTGGCAATCCTTCCTCCTCAGCCTTCCAAGTAGCCAGAACTACAGGCACACACTACCACACCTGGCTAATTTTTGATTTATTGTAGAGACGAGGTCTCGCCAAGTTGCTTGGGCTGTTCTCGAACCCGCAGGCTCAGGCAGTCCACTGGCCTCAGCCTCCCAAAGTGCTGGGATTACAGGCTAAGCCACTGAGCCTGGCTCTTTTTTTTTGTTTGTTTGTTTTTTTGAGTTGGAGTCTCACTCTGTCGCCCAGACTGGAGTGCAGTGGCCGCTCCCGGCCACCGCAGCCTCAACCCACTGGGCTTCGGCGATCCTTCCGCCTCAGCCTTCCAAGTAGCCGGAACTACAGGCGTGCACTACCACGCCTGTCTAATTTTTTGATTTATTGTAGAGATGAGGTCTCGCTGCCCAGGCGGGTCTCGAACCCGCGGGCTCAGGCAATCCACTCACCTCAGCCTCCCAAAGCGTGGGATTACAGGCTGAGCCACCGAGCCCGGCTGAGCCTGGCTCTTTTTATTTTTACTATCCCTTCATTCCCAGTACCCTGTCTACTTCCCCTTTCCCCAGAAGCACCTGTCCAATTTTGATGTTTTGATACATATGCTTGAATTGTGTTTGTAGCCTTGAAAAGCTAAAGCATTGTTCTGTATATGTATATATTTTAAATGTCCATAAATAGCATTGAGTTATGGATCATATTCTGTTTCATGTTTTTTTATTCAACACTTTTTTTTTTTTAAATTGAGTCTCACTCCATTGCCCAGGCTGGAGTGCAATGTCATGCTCATGGCCACCCCAGCATCAACCTGCTGAGCTCTGGTGATCCTTCTGCCTCAGCCTTCCAAGTAACCAGAACTACACATGTGTGCTACCGCGCCCAGCTAATTTTTTAAAAATTTATTGTAGAGATGAGGTTTTACCAAGTTGCCTGGGCTGGTCTCAAACCCGTAGGCTCAGGCAGTCCACTCGCCTCAACCTTCCAAAGTTATTACAGGCTGAGCCACCTAACCCGGCTTATTCAACACTTTTTTCGAGATCCACTCATGCTGTTGAAAGTACATTTAGCCGGGCTCGGTGGCTCAGCCTGTAATCCCGCGCTTTGGGAGGCTGAGATGAGTGGA